TGGCTTGAGATGGAGTACTTATATGAGTAAAAAATGAAGTTTTGTTGCCAAACCTCATAGCTCTCCTAGTCATTTAGCAAGCGGCATGATGTCATAATAGATTGGGTAATCATTATATTCCTCAAGTCCCAACAACTCTCTTCAATATCGATTCTTGAGTTTGTCAAATAACATAATGTAAGAATTATCATATGAACCGCAATTGATGTCTTCCCATTTTCAATATATTGATCAATTGAAATATAATGAGTACTTCTGCTCCACTCTGCTTCTTTTAGCCATGACTTGAATATTTCTTTCCACTGCATAGTCAAAAAATTAAAACAATTTCTCTAGTATTGATTAGCTTATTAAAATGAATATCACTAGAGATTTAATGTTATTCATGACTCACAACATCTTGAAGATTTTCCTTCAAATCAAGGCCGTGCAGCCTAAAGATTTTCAAAGAAATATCATGAACTAAATTGTCCAGAGAGGTGAAAATGACTTTGCTATGACTTCTTAGACCTTTTCCTTCCCGTCTATGATTAAAGTGGGTAAAGAAAATAAAATTTATTTTAATGCATGATAACAAGAAAAATGCAATTGCACGAGAGAGAGATAGAGAGAGAGAGAGAGAGCTTTTTTTTAAATGTGCTTATAATTCCAAAGTCTTATTTTTATTATATTTTTATTTTCTTATAAATACAAGGTGGTTATATTTATAATTATTACCTCATAATAAAATATTTCAATGCCCCGTGATTTTTTTCTCTTTTCATATCTTTCATATAAATATTTCAGTTGCCCCTATTAATTATATTATTTCATCTGTATGAATTGAATTCTTGTATAACGCTAATAAAATAATTTACTAATGAAAATCTTGGTCAGAGTTTATGGGCTTAAAATTTGGCCCAAATTAAATATTTATAATATTTAATATTTATACTATAAAAATTTAATAGACATAAGAAAATTAAATAACACATTTATATATGAGCTAATCGAAGAATCTAAACTCTGACAAGGAAATGATTGATGGCTGTCTCCCCCCATCCTTTTTCACATTTTGGAGACCTACAACAATTTAGTCCATTGTGTATCATAGATTCCTAAAATATATGTCACTCCGAACTTTGGTCATATTTTAAATATATTTTAGTATTTCATATGTCCTTCTCCTCCATTCAAAAACGTGCCAGACAACAAAAACAAGCTCATCAAATTGATTGAATTAAAACCTCCTTTAAAAATTGATATAAATAAAAGTCAATGCTGCTTTTAAATGAAATGATTATTGTTTAAATTCCTTGAAAATACTAGTCCAATGAATTTAAAATGTTTTATATTTGTATGTTTAATGTCTCCTTATTAAAAAAAAAATTATGAATATTTTATAAACACACATGCAAAAATATATTGTAATTTTTATGGCAAAACTTTTCTAATAATATTTAATTTTATATTTTGTATATTAGATTGTTTATCAGATATCTTTGTCTCGATTACAATTATAAGTATATTTTAACTTCATAGATCTGAGATGCATCATGAGTGCCTCTGTGTTGACAATCCATAAATAAATTTTGAACTAATTTGATGCTAAATAGTTTAATGCTGCTTTTAAATGAAATGATTATTGTTTAAATCCTTGAACATGCTAGTCCAATGAATTAATGAAATTAAAATTACAATTTTTAAAGTATATTTTGTTTTTAATTAGTCCAATGAATTTAAAATGTTTTATATTTGTATGTTTAAAGTCTCCTAAAAATATATTGTAATTTTTATGGCAAAACTTTTCTAATAATATTTAATTTTATATTTTGTATATTAGATTGTTTATCAGATATCTTTGTCTCGATTACAATTATAAGTATATTTTAACTTCATAGATCTCAGATGCATGATGAGTGCCTCTGTGTTGACAATTCATAAGTAAATTTTGAACTAATTCGATGCTAAATAGTTAGCATTCGATTTGCATTGAACACATGGTTGAAGTTAAAACCAAGATTGGTAATACAATTAACGTTGAACATGCCTGACACAAATCATTTCTCTCGGCTTTAACGTTCTTGATGCTCTCCATTATCCAGTTTTGACACACCTCACGTTGCTTAAGTGTTAACGACGGACTTGAACTATTCAACTTGAATTCTACTAATATCATCCTCATCTATATTACCATCACTTTGAACAATAGATCCAAGATATCTAAAACGTTCACTTCTAACAGGATCATCAGATGGTTGACGCTTAATGTGACTAAATCATCTAAGACGACTCTCCCTAACATTTTCTACCAACAGTGCAACACCAACCCTTTCACAAATATATTTATTTCACATTTTGTCTCTAAGCCTAAAGTTAGTTTATGCTTTGCTTTTATAAGCCAACATATATCTAACATCCAAACTTAATTTTTCACATAAAAATCATACAATTCATATACATTACATATCTAACGCCTCAACTTTAAATTATACATACATAAGAAGCACAGTTCTTTGCATTACATGTCTAACAACTATACTTACTTCTTTTTTTCACATAAAAACCACCAAATTCCTATGCATTACATATCAAACCCCTAAGCTTCACTTTCCACATAAATCTAACACCGAAATTTCAATTTTTACATAAAATAGAAAATAAAAAATAAAAAATCTCATGAATGGGAGACTCAAGGGAGAAGAAAAACATACCTAGAGGTAGGAGAGGTGGATTGCTCGCCCGAGCCAATATATCCCCCGTTCCAAGAGGGCCGGAGATGCCGGACCGCCGGAGCGCAGTGGAGAGTGTCATTGTCGGATTCGTCAGAGCGTAAGGAACAAATGTGAACAGAGTGCAAATGAGGCTCTGTCGAGCAGGAATATTTTTTTAGAACATTTACATCGACTAATTCCGACGCTACTTAGCGTCAACTCGCTATTAAATGAATCTTAAACCCATTCAAATCGGTTTCGCCACAAATCGAATGATAAACTGAGGCTAACTTTCTGTTGAAAAAAAGGCGGATTCTAAATCTAAAGCTAGATCACATATTCAAGTTTTATAAGTTTGGTCTCCACTTATCACGAAAACACATGCGGTCATTGATCAAAAGAGTTCTAAGCTGCTCTTCTTAAATGCAAATATTCTTTATCACAATTCTCTCCATTGTCTCATCCTCTTCTCTGCATTTAATCTTTGTTCCATCCAATTTAAATTCATTAAATAGTCCATTTTTGATTCGTTTAGCTGGGGAAAATATTTTGAAGTTGAAAACTATTAAACATATGATTACATAGGAACTGAGTGTGGCATGCATGTAAAATTAAGAAAAAACATTGCCAGGACCACCCAACAAGGAAATATGACCTAACACGACAACTACCTCAAAATATAACCAATGATTAGATTGTACAAATGACAACCAAAAGTTCTATTTTTTAAGGCATCGTACCGACGATTGGAAAAACATCTGCACCTCTCACTTGGTGGTTAAATGATGGCTATGGAGTGCTCATATTGGATGGTATTGTGGTGATATTACGGTGCAATACTACTATAATGTCATCAAAATACTACTATCAGCATGTGCTAACTCCACACAAAATATTTGCTCTAAGATAATAAGTTGATAAAGCTTTAGTCGGTGTTTGCCATAGAAATATAAAACACAAGATCTATATCAACGTAAGTATCATCTTTATTTTCTGTCCATATTAGTGTCATCTTGATCATGGTGGACCATGATGGCACACCTAGCTGATGGTATGACACCTGCAAACACATTTAGGATGGAGAAATAAACGTGAAAAAAAAACTAAGGGACCGACAGTTATCTTAATATTCAAATGCGCATGCGTGTCTCACATGTGTGAAATAGAATTTTTTAATCAATAATTTTCAATTTAATTATCACTAAATTTTAATTTTTGTCATTAAAAAAACATTTATATAAATACCAACAAATTTCTAGATATATATATTATTAACACCCAAAAGTTAATTTTTAAATTAATATTACAGAAATATTTCAATAATTTATATATATATTTGTGTGTGTGCGCGCGCGCGTGTGCGCTCGTGTCTATATATAGATATATATGTTGTGTTACCAACCATTGAGCTTCTAAGCTCTGCCACCAGTGCCTACAGACCTAATGGAGTGGCGCATAGGCACTAGTCATTTGACGCTTAGGCGCTAGAAACAGTTTTGACAGTTCGAATAGATGGATGCACTTGTTCACTTGGGCAACTTATAAAAAGGATGGTAACAAATTAAAGAGGGTTTTTTCATCATTTTTCTTCTGTCATTCTGAGAGAGGAATTGGATGATAAGGTTAAAGCTTTTGCAAAGAGATTAGAAGAGAAGAAAAGAGAGAGATTGGGAGGATTGAGAGAGTTGTTTGTTTCCTGTTAGTAACGTCCTCATCTTCTTGTTTGTGAAGGAGATAAGTGTGTTTATGCATAAAATTAAGTTTACTTTGATGAGATTTGTCATGCATAGAGAATAGTCTTCTTTTTTCTCTCTTTAATTGAGATGGTGAGTGGATATGACAATGGATTTGAGATTGTTTGGGCTTTGATTTGAATTTAAAAATGATGTATTAACTTGAGAACTTAATTTACTTTCTAGACCAATTGTTTGTTAAAACCTTTTGTGAATATTGAAATATGGATGGATTCTGTATGGAACAAAAGAGTTAACAATATACACATTGGAATAGAGATATTGCCAATAGATTTGTGCAATCTTCTATGAGTAATTTCCTTTTGAGCGGATCAAGAGTTTTTGGAAACTAAGCTTAAGATTGTTAATCTTAATTTGCATGTTGCATGAAATGATTTTTGTTAAATGAAAATTGAAATGATAATCAAAGCACAATATTTATTTATTTTTCAATTTACCAAATTCAAATACAATAATGAAAATCCTTACATATTAGAATGATTGAGAGAGAGAGAGAGAGAGAGAGAGAATAGTAATATGCACGGGCACAAAAAGTCCATGGCTAGCAAGCTCATTTGTCCCATTATTTTCTCCTCCAAAATATGCTTTCATATCTAATGAATTTAAATCATACATTTGTAGCTGGTAGTATGACATGTGATGAACGAACATGCAATAGATTGCTTATGAAACATTTTATATTTTTGTTGATTTGGCCATTTGTTCGAATCAAATGACAATAGTCCACTTTTGACTCTAGCTCCTCCAATCTTTAATTTTATATTTGGAGCTTCAATTTTTGCTGTTTTCGGTTCCTTGGGAATGAAATATACAGGTTCACTAGTTGTTTTGCACTTTAATGGTTCATATATTGCCTTGTCAATGCTTTTAAGTAGCATAGTTGGGGAGTCGAATACATTTGTGGAGTCATAGAACATTTGAAAAAGTTTCAAGAAAGCTAGATGCACGTCCTTCCACTCCCTTGGCATTTGAGAACTTGTAGAGTCACTTGACATCACTAGTTGAAGAAGTTCTTTTTTCTTTTTTTCCCAAATATTCCTCACAAAAGTGATGGCTTCATCAATTGGAGCATCTGGATTCTCCTTTTGGTATAGCGAAACTATATTTGGTTTTCCATCTTTAGCTTCTTTCTGCAAAATAAATTATATTTTAGTAACATCAATGTTATTTGATAGTAAAAAGAATAATCACTACAACATAACCAATTGTAATTTTACACTTAAAGCATTAGGAAAAACTTATCAGTAAGTAATATAGTATTATTGACAAACCTCATAGCTCTCCAAGTCATTCAACAAACGACATGACTCCATAACAGATTGAGTAATCATAGTATTACTTATGTCCCAACAGCTCTCTTCAACATATATGTTTGAGTTTGTCAAATAACATGATGCAAAAATCATCATTTGAACTGCAACTGATGTCTTGCCAATTTCAATATATTGATCAATTGAAGGACAATGAGAGCTTCTTGCCCATTCTGCTTCCTTCAGCCATGAATTGAATATTTCTTTCCACTAATTAGCATATAAATTAATTCAGACTCACTGATATTGATTAGCTTATTTAAAAATATATCATGGAAGAATACATGTCATGAATAACTCACAGCATCTTGAAGAATTTTCTTCACGTCATAGCCATATCGCTTGAAGGATTTTTGAGAAATATCATGAACTAAGTTGTCGAGGGCGTTAAAAATAACTTTGCTATGGCCCGTTAGAAATTCTCCATCCCATCTATGATTGCAGTGGATAAAGAGAATAACATTCTATTAATACATAATACCGAAAAGAATGAATGCACGCCAAATACAGAGTTGTAACATATTTTCTAAAAGATACATTTAGTTCAAAAAAAAATAATCAATGCAAGTAATAATCACTAATTATAGCTAACGTGGATAAATACAATAGTTTGACTGAAAAGTCAAGAAAGAAAGAAAAGAGTAACAATTCATTATTCATTAACAGATAGCAAAATTATCAAAAATAAGCTAAAAGGGCAATGGTTAACTCACAAAACGGGTAGAATATTTCTTACCTTTGTAATGCATCTGTTAGAATGAATAATTCATCAAGTGGGGCTTTCTCATCAAAAAAATCATCTGCAACTGCAATGAAGGTTGCACATTTTGCCGCTTCCTTCCTTGAATCTATGTTAATTGGGAAGCAAATTGAAGAAGCTACGGCAAAATAACAATATGATGTCTTCTCTCTACCAAATCCCATAGTGGAGAGGCCTGTGTCCTTGGCCCACCTTTATCGCAAATTAAACGAAAATTTAAAGGAAAATTTAGCAAGAAACTTATTGAAGAAGCAGATTTAGGAGAGAAAATTATAATTTTTTCTCTATAAATTAATGATAAATTACCTGTGTAGTTCGTGAAGCTCTTTCTTGTATACTATTTGTCTAGTCGTGAAATTATCAATGGCAAGTTGGAGTAAGTCATCATTTTGTAAGATCCTGCATTTTACTTCGATCATCAAAAAATAACTTTGCATTTATCCCATCATCTATCTTAAGTTCTTATATATAACATTACTTGCAATAAGGAGCATTATTTCCAATCCAAAAGAGATAGATCCCTCCTCTTTCAATGTAGAACCTATGCTCCAAATGATCCATTCGAGCTAGCCATTTGAGCCCCAACTCATGCTCAATCTAGTAGAGCACATGTAAGTTAATTTCAAACAAAAGAGATTAGAATATGTACACATATAAATTCATTACCTCTTGTTGTAACAGAGGTGATGTAGATAAGAAAATGGTTTCATTTTTAGATTTCATGCTCAAGATTCCCATCTGCAAGATTTGTCGAGCAAACTCTCCAGCTTTGTCAAGTTTATGATCGTCTGGAAAAGCAATATTTGATGCTTTGTAAATGCTAAGCATAGGGCCTAAAAAAAAGCGATGATTATCCTTTATATGAGACATAATCTCCTCATCGTCAATGAACCAACAAAACCTCCCTGCAAATAGCCATGAAGATTAGCTAGCTATCTTCTTTCACCAATCAAATGCACTCACTAGTAAAACAAAGTAATGTTACGTAATTAGGCAAAGGTGAATTATTATCCATTTAGTAATGTTATGTGAGTATCCAAAATATAATTCCTTTGTCAATTAATGCTTACATGGAGAGACTTGATAGCCTTTCATCCTTAAAAGTCGGAAAGCTAAGGAGTCTTTATAGAGTTGGAATGCAACATTATTTTTATTTGGGGCTTGTAATTCTTCTACAATCCACTCTCTGTGAAATAAAAAAAAATGTGAATTTTGAAGCTGTTAGCTTATGAACTTTGATATTAAAAGGAACTTCAGATTATATTTCCATTGACATAAAAACAAGAAAAATGAATCAGAAAGCATATATACTTGTATTGTATATCTATCACATTCTTAATATCTTCGGTGAAATGCTCTGCACATCCAAGCCTCTCCAAGTGATCAACCAGACAGAGCTTTATCACATCTTTGTCCATCATGTATATGGGAGGAACTGTACATATATTATGTAAATAAATTTAAATAAGTTCTTATGTTGACTATTTATTAATTGTAATAAGTTAAAACCATATTTAAAAAATGTTAGACTTACATAATTAAACTAAATGATCTAATATAAATTTTAAATTAAGAAGGATGATGGTTTTGTCTGACATAAAATTTATGAAAAAAATTACATTTTTTTAATATTATTATTTATAAGCAACTAATTGAATTTAAAATGTTTTTTTATATAAATATTAGAAATATGTATACATTTTATGCCTCATTTAATGAATCTTTTATTTGCACACATACAAAAGCTTACTCCAATTTATATAATAAATTTATTTGATAATTTTTAATTAAATATATTACATTTTAAATTGTATATTTTATACTTTTCTATTGGTCACAATTATTATATGTTATTAAGAGCGTTGATGTGAGATGCATGATCGGTACCTCCGTGTTGGCAATCCACAAATAAATTTTGAAGGTAAGTTTTGTATGCTTGGTTTCCGCCAGTCATGAAAGCACATGCGGTTGTCGATGGTGATCGATAGAGTTCCGAGCCACTATTTTCAAAAGCAATCTCCCTCATCACAATTCTCTCTATTGTCTCGTCCTCTAATCTGCAATTAATCTTTGTTCCATTCAATTTAAATTTGTTAAATGGTCCATCTTTGATATGTTGAGCTGCAGGAAATACTTTCAAGCCTTTGGCCTCTGCAAGCTCAACCATCAAAATCCACCTACGAAGAAGCCCAGCTTCATCACCATCCTGTTTGCTCTTCCTCAGCTTCCACAACACCTTTTCCATGTTATCTCTGAGGAATTCAAGTCCTAAAAGGCATACACATGCATAGGTTTACTCATTCAAATACCTTAAAAAAATCTAGAAAATAGAATATTTATATGAGCTAGTACCTTTATTTATTTTGTGAGAGAAACCATCGATCTCCCAAGTCTTGAGTGCAATTAAGCATGCTAGAGTGCCCACTACATCAGCCGCGGTCCATTGTGACTCATTGCTTTTAAGCTCACGACGATGATCTTGCGGATGATCGTCTAACCAAAAACCAAGAGTATTTTGGCTACGTAGAACCCAATCCAAATACCCAGGGAACATTGGCCGGGTCTGGTCATTTGGGTCAGGCACCATGACGACTAAAGATGTCTCATATGCAGAGACAGGCAAAAGGGCGAAGAGATTTGCCGATGAAGAAAAGAGCTCCATTCTCATTTTCTCAATTGCATGTGAGTGCTCCATGAGTATCTAATAGTTTTCACTATGTATCACAGCCAACGAATATGAATATGTTAATGCATGATTTATTTCCGAATTTATAGATGAGCTAGAGGACGTGTGATTCACGCAACACACAACACAAACATTCAATCGATAGAGACAAAGTTTAATTGTACTATGTTACGTGCTGATCCCTCCATTACTCCATGAGAATTTCGTTTTTTTTTTCTTCTTCTTCAATACATTAAGGGGAGAAAAAAACAAAAAAAAAAAAATCATCCTTTGGGCAATGGGTATTGTGTGAATCGATCCAAGGTAGCAAATAATGGTTCTTCGGGCAGGCGACGTTCATGTAAGTGAAGTCCAGTCACTTTCTTCACTTGACGTTAGCCTTCTACATCATGACTATGTTGAAGACCCACGTCGGGTATTGTACCTTACGGGTGTAGCCTGCCTAGTTGAATTTCTAGACTTCCGCTCAAATCGGTCCGGCTAGAGTCATTGTTGAGGACCTGATTTTCTGCTTAATATGTCGGGTGGTCATATTCACGCATGTTAATCGTGTTGAGCGCCAGAGGTTAAATCACCTATCAGAGTGTTTAACTTTGTGTTCGGCAAGAGCTAATTATCTCGTAGTAATGCCTTGGACAATGAGAGTGGTGTCGAAAGTGGAAAATAGAAATTTCATGCCTTCAGTGTACTCCTCGACAGGAACGATCCCAGACTCAGGAATCGTGGATTTTTTTCAGGTGAGCAACAATATCACTAGCAGAAGCAACAACAACTTTGTGGTTGCCTGCCTTTACCCTAGTTTATTCTCGACGACTTTGATAGCGAGTTGACCGACAACGTTTACTGATCGATCTATCTGACAGCACCATTAGATCCAACTGACCGAGAAGGCTCATCGTACTCCTACCAAGTTCAGCTAGCCAAGCCAAAGAACAAAAGGCCTTAGGCCCACGAGGAAGAAATATCTAGAATAACCTGTGCAGTCCCTACTTAAGTATGGGCATAAACATAACTTCATATATTGTACCACTTTTGTCTATAAATAAGAGATCGTTTCATGAATGAAATGTTACATGATTTCCTCACTCTACCATTCATTACGGTGTTACGGTGATCTCTCTCGCTTCTCTCTCGCTCTCTCTCTCTCTCTCTCACTCTCATCCATCTCACTTTTCACACTCTATATTTTGGATGTGATTCGCATGACAAATTCAAATTCAAGAATACCACTCAATTCTTAAGTATTTATGTATCTTAATCTCTAAACTTGATTTTTTTTTATATTTATATCCAAAATCTTTCATATCATGTCACAAATACCACAATTTAAACTTTTAAAAAGTGAAATCTACATTTTCATGCATATGTATGGTGACACATATATGTAAGAAAATTAAATTAAATTTTGATTTTAAATGTATACATATAGAAGAATTGAGTGCTATGCATGTAAATCTATGAAGAAATTAAAATCAAATCTTAGTTGCTCCAAAGATAATCGGAAGGTAATTGCGGTTAATTAGATTTAATTTTATCTGTGAGTCATGTTCAAATATTACAAACGCCGAAGAGAGAGAAAACGAGAAGTTCCAAGAAAAATTGCATAATACAAGTGATTGATGGTAATACTCAATAAAATTATTTAAGCAAACTAAATAATTGATGACAAAATTTTAAAAAAATAATTACACAAATTATCAATTATTATTTTTGTATTAGAATAATATAACAATTAATTTATCAATTTAACTAAAAAATCAATATTGATTTTAAATTAAAATGTTACTGCTTATTTATTTATTTTTGAAAATGATGATATTATTTTCACATATAAAATTTATGAATATAAAATTTATGAAAATAAAATTACAATATATTTAAAGTATATATTTTTTTTAATTAGTCAAATGAATTTAAACTGTTTTATACTTATAGATCATAAATAAAATTACTTACACGTTTGATGAAACATAATTGAAAAAACATACTAAATTTATATATCAATTCTTTTTTAATGATATTCATTCATATATCTTATAAATTATAGTCTATTATATACTTATGTACTAATTACAAATGTAATATATTTTTAACCACATTGATTTGAGGTGCATCATTAATACCTCTCTCTCTCCATTGTCCCATCCGCTTGCCTATTTTTAATTCTTCTTCCATTCAATTTAGATTTGTTAAATAGTCTATTTTTCATTTGTTGTAGGAAATACTTTTAAGTTCTTGACTTCTGCAAGCTCAAGCTTAAAAAACTACCTATAAAAAGGCCCAAATTCCTCACAACCCTCTTCGCTCATTCTAATCATCATCAAATCTTTCTTCATAATTTCTATCAAGTATATTAACCCTAAGTAGTACACAAAATTATACATATGAAATGATGGAAAGTATGCTATACACACACCTTTGTTTATTTTGTAAGAGAACTATAGATCATTAATCTCTCATGTTCTGAGAACAATTAAGCGAGCGAGGTTAGCCAAAAGATCATCACCTGCCTAATGATGTTTTATAATTTATTAGCTTGCATGATCAATATCAAGACCACATTTGTCATGCAAATGATTGTCAAATAAAAAATCTAAAGCATATCTCGATTACTAACTTAAAAAAAATATGAAACATTAGTTTTAATGCAAAAATTTATGACACCAAAATACTGAAAATTTAATTGTTAGATAGGTAAATATATAAGAAATGTATGGCAAATTCTCTCTTTTAAAAGATAATTTCCTACTTTTGAAAAACTAAAATTAAATGGGCACCCACACTGGCCACACATTATTTCATGCCACTAGAGTGAGGTCCACCACAGAGTTCCTAACTTATGTATGGAAACATCCGACAAGGCAAACACACACATCACATGCAGAATATGCAAAACGTTGAACTGAAAAATATCTTGATCCCAAATGGCTTTGTGCCTACGAGATGTTACGAAGCCATTTGCGTCCACATTAGTCGTTCCCATCCATTTACAGTACTCTCATAGACTCTCACACCATAATTGTATGGTGGAGAAGGAAGTTAGAATACAACTAGGAAACATCTAGCAATGAAATGTCACTTTTTGGCTGCTTTAGGAAAGCTATTCAAATATCTAACGATTCATGAAACTGCCTCAAAAACAACAAAGGTTATTATCAAATGGAAGAAATTTACATATGGTAAACTGCAAAATTGATTGTAGAGTAAAATGGAAGAAATTTACATATCAAAAAATAAAAATGTATCCTTAAAATTTGACTTCAAGTATTGAGAATTACATGGTTATGTCTATGCAGACTGATTCTTGGAGGTGATTATCTATTCTGATTTTTTCTTCGCTACTGACTATAATAATTCTAGACAATCAACTTCTAGGTATATCCTTAGATTTGTTGGAGTGTTAAGCAGGGAAAATAAGTACGTGCGTCTGACCGCACACTCGGATGAAGGTCCGTATTAGGCCACACCGTCGTATATTGCACGGCGGCCCATCTAGACGGTTGTCCTGATATATGGTTGCCGCATGTAATAATTTTTGTTCTCTATTCTTGTGGTTTGGCTCAACGGTTTTACAAAGAAGCAGTTGCTCTATCATTATTTTGAAAAAAGATTAGCTATGAAAATACAATTAGATGTGACAAACAAAATGTACTCGGTCCAAATAAGATCAAATGTATCACTCAAAAATATAGTGTGTAACTTTTTTATGGCATTTGTTAGAGAAAATATCTTCTAAATTTTTATTATTATCGAAACGAGACATGCACATGTTCAATAAATATTTTTAAATATTGAATTTTTGAAAGATTGAGTGTCCAAAAAAATAAAATAGAGGAATATAAATTGCTTAGATAATCTGAATAAGCATCCAAAATTTTGTTAGACATCACCCAAACATAGTCTCAGAAAATTTAGAAAAAGATCTGTTGTGAGATATGTACTTCCTGGCATAGAAATGAGACGAAAAAGAACACAAGCAAACACAGATCGTTTACGTGGTTTGATCCAACTGGATCTACGTCCACGGGAGGGAATCAATCAAATATTTCACTAAGGCAAAAGAAATGGAGAATACATAGCTTATACATAGAGATGAGCCCTCATCTTCCTTCTACGACCTCCCTCTCAAGCAACACCTTGATACAAGGCCTCAAGATGCTCTCCTCCTCTCTAGCTCTCTAGTTATTCTCTCCTCCTTTGTGGTAGCTTAAGATCTCTTCTCCCTTTTTTGTCCTAGGCCTCACACCCTCTCTATTTATAGAAGCAAGAGAGCGATTGGTGGGAGGTAGGTGAGCGGTAGGTGA